GTAAGGGAAAGTAGTACCCTGACAGGCTGAAGGCACTGACAAAGTCATCCAGGACAGCTTCTTCAGAATCAGCAGGGAAACATAGACCACAGGAGTGATACAAGTGAAACTGTATTTATCAAGTGAGACTTGAAAAACTTGAAAACTACTGGGAAGCAATTTTAAAAACAAATAAATGAACAAGCTGCTCAGCCATCTTGGTCAAGTTGATACCCTATCTTTCAAGAAACAGTTGTATCAGACACTCAGGACAGAAGTCTCTACTTTTTCCAAAGAGTTGTGGGAGTATGTAACAAGCTTCCCAGCACCAACTACCTACCAAACAGGCCTCTGTTCATTGGTTATTGTTCCTAAGATGTTTAAAGTTTGTCTGCTTCAGGGGTCCTAGGCAGGACAAGACTGGCGAGAATGTATGTTTTTTGCCATTTTCATGACGGGTTTCCTGTAATACTTTGCCATTTGTAAATCTTATCAAACAAGCACCCTGAGCCTGCAGTTTGCATGTCATTTACTCTTGTTGTCAGAATGTGCACGCCATGATTTCAGTCATTAGAGCATGCAGACAAAAATCATCACATTTCCCATTTCATGTCATACAGAGGCAGTTGTGTTTATGGAGACCATTTACATTTTAATGCCTCTGTAGACAATTGGTTATCCATTTGCTGTGTTGCAATTGTGTGAATGTTAGTTCTACAAGGGTTTGAGAAATAAATGTCAAAGTGTCTTATTGCTTACTGATTAAACCAATGATGGGTTTACACAAATATGCATTTTACCATCATTTGAGTTATGTGCATGCAAATATACTGAATGTAGTTTTTATTGTTACAGACTATGCAACAGTGTTGCAAAGAATCACTGAGACAATTGGTTTGAGAAACATTGCTTTTAAATTTAGGCGTTAGTAATCCACAAGATGCAAGCCACTTTACAATGCTAGAATCCAGTGTGTACTTTATATATTATCAACTCTCTATAATGTGATGAGAGCAACAGTGATTAAATCATTTAAGTGGAGAAGTGAAGGTAACAGGAAAAATTAGTTCCCAGCTCAGCAGTGTTCCCTGAGATGTTGAGATACAGTATGTCTTTGTTTTAATGGAAATGGAAAACAGTCTAACACTTACAGTATATCTGGTCTCACGTGGCAACATCTCAAACATGGTGTGTGCGGGGGTAGCTAAGAACAGTACCTGCAGCAAACGAAGGCTAAAACTGAAAAGGAAATTATAGGATTGTAGGATTAAAATTCAAAACATGTCAAATCTTCTGATACCAGTTTGTCTGTATAGGTAGTTTAATATTTCATACTTCCTAAGCGGTCATTTAAAAAAGAGTCTACAGATCCATCATCTCTAGCATCACCCTGACATGTTTTTTCTGCCAAGTCTTGAGTTGTCTCTCTTCACGCAAAGAGGAAGGCACGACACATGGATCTGGGAACAGCAATCTGAGATGCAAATTATGTAAGTGTAATGCACCCATGTGCACAGATCCATAATAGCAGAGAGTTTATTAGGATAAAGGGTCTCATTGGGGTCTCGCCGATGTCCTGGACATTTCCTTCAGGACTAATCGATCTCTCTGTCACCATAGTAAATTGCTCTTACTCGGAGACTCGTGCTGTTGAGAGTCACAACTTTGCTCCCTGTGTCAAGATTCAATAGTGAAGACCCTATTAGTGGTGTTTGACTGGGGCAGCATCAAGTACACCCTTTGTGTAGCCTCTTCCAAGACGCCCTGATATGAGCCTTCCACTGCAGACGTCTGAAGACATTATGTGAGCTAGTAGTTTTAAAAAGAAAATTGGAACTGACCCAGCAGCAGCTGTGTCTTTGCTGAGAATAAAAACGAGCACTCCCATTAATCTGCAAAGCAGTTTGCAAACCTTTTGTCGGTATATACTTATTCTTCGCCCCCCCCCAGAACCCAACAATGTACTTTGCTGAGTTGCTGAGTGTTGATGAGATGGACAGCGAGCTCTAGTTGGAAGAGTTAATTCTTTTGCCAGTTCTTTTTGATAGCACCTCTCCTTATTGTTTCCACAGCAACAGACTGTCAGCTTATTAAGCGCAACACAAACATGTTTTAGATAATGGGCCTGTGGAGACAGAAGAGATCCTAAAGGTGGCTGGCTCAGGCATTGATTATCCAAGAACAACTACAGAACTTGGACAAGGAGCAGTTCATATCAAATAATTTTATCTTTAATTTACCTTTCATTTGTTACTGATGCCATTGTGTATGCGCAGTATGGGATTTCAGCCACCAGCAGTAATTAGATTGTTGTTCACCCTGCTGACTAGCAATGTCGTTACAATGAAAACAGTCTTGAGAAGTCTTCCCACAGATGACAGTGGAGATGTGGCATGGAAACGTGCTGGTGCTGAGAGATTCAGGCTCAGGCCGGCACAGTGCTGACACGCTCCCTGACTCTGAGCTCTGTTTCCACAGCCTGCTTTTTGCAGAATCTGCCAGCACGGCACATAGCAGTCCAGGCTGAAGTGACTCACCAGCAATGTTTCCTCTAATTTTAGTGACCTGTGTGTGCAAAAATTTCAAGTGACAAAAACTTGTGACTTTGTAAAATTGTAAACCTGTATTTTTTTTGTTAATATAGTCATTCTCATAGCTACTAAAAACTGTATTTATTTTTTCTCTCTCCTGTCTTAAGCATTTGCCCATTCTGTGTAAACCTTATCCAGACTAATGTGCCTTCCATCCAGTTAAAAGCTTTTAATTCTTATCAGCATATCCAAATGACACTCTCGTAAGCGGTTTCTAATATTTGTTTTTGAGTGAATTCATTAAGATGAGACTCCATTCACAGTAAACACTGGGTACTAGAAAAGTTCGCCCAATATCCATCAGCTTTGAAAGGTCGCAAAACTGTTCATTGTGAAGTGCAAATGTCACCATATCAGCAAAGTTTGTAATTAGTTTGTATTTAATTTTTCACCCACAGCAAATTTAAAGTAATTGTACTGTTTAACTATGATGGTATTTTCAACTTAAAAGTCTGGGTATTTTGAGCATGAAGCATTAACATGCTCAGTGCCATAGGTGAAGTCACACTCAGCTATTGCAGAACAATCAAAGGCTGACCGTTCTTGTACTTCATCTGCAGTAAACCTTTCTTGCAAATGAACACAAAGGAGGTTGATAAAAGTTAACGGAGAACTGATACCCACTGCAATGTTTTCTTAACCCTTAACTTTGTCACTCCTCAAAACATTATCACAAAGATACTGCTTTCTTAACTTGCTCAGTTTGCCACGTGGAAAATGAAGTGCATCAAGCAGGTCAAGATTGTGGTTCGCATAAAACTGCTTGATTGATAACATAATAGAAGCATCACTTGCCTGCAGCTGCAATATTTCCACCAAAACAAGTTTTATACACAATAGAATTTTAGGCCTAAATCTGAAGTACAGTATGAGGCATTTGTTGACAGATGTATCTTTGCTTTCATCAACTGTTAACTTATAAAAATCTGCTGAAGCTATTTCCTCAATCATTTCTTTTTGAACAATGCTATTGATAATGTCCAAAAATTCAAACGTGTAATTTTTGCTTCGCCAACTATGGGAAATTTTAGCGTACTTTGCCATACGTTCATTGATGTCTTGAACTGAGAGCAAAGAGTTATTCCTTTTAATGGCTAAGAGAACACTGTCAATAAGCACTTTGATCTCCTCTGGGTTTGAACGTTTTCGTTCTCGTTCATCTGGATTTCACGAAGCAGCCCCGGAGCTGGTACTGAAGGATTTTGGTGTCTGAGTTTTTGACCTTTGTTTTTGATCGTTGACCTGAGATGTGCTTGTGAGATGGCGCTTTAAAAAGTCCAATTTCCAAACCTCACCCCGCCTCTTTCCACTAGCAAATTATCCAGGAACGTTCACATCACGACAATACAAACATACAGCACCGTTTTTTGAATCAAACAAATATTTCTCACAATGTAACACGGTATGCCATAACTTTTCGGAGTAGCGATTTCAACCATTTCGCCAAGTCATTCCACTTCAAATGAACTTGCAGGAGGCCTTAATGGCCTTCACCTCTTTCGACAAAGTGAGTCAATATTTTTTATTTTTTTAATAAAATAAACTTTTAAGGGAGTAATGCAAATTTGAAAAAAATGAGTCTACGTTTCTACGATATGAACGTTCAACGACGCGCACTGTGTAAACCGGAAAAGGATGTTTGTCGTGAAGCATAAAGCTCACACAAACCGGGGCAGCGATTCACGAAACCCAGTCCTAGAGACCAAGTGTCGAGCGAGCTTTAGCAGTGAGGTGCAAGACTACAAGAGCATAGATATCAATTTTCACACCAAGATGGACCTCTCGCAGCCAGTCTCATGTGGTCCATTTCGCGTTTTTCAATTGACGGCCGTGTTTGTTTATCATCATTATTTTTGGGGAATTTAATTTGTGGTGCACGGTTCAATTTCCTATGTGCGCTGATTTTATCATTTGTGTGCGCGCATGTAAGCGCGCAGCTTAGAGGGAACGCTGCTCACAGGAGGAAAATAACATGTACAGCCTAATAGCAAGACAGGATCTCCGATTCAGTCGCACAGCCCAGCTCATTTCTTTATTGAGGAAAAGGAACCATGGTCCCCGAGTGTTCTCGTCGTGCATGTGCTAAAGAGGCACCAACAAAGCATCATGGAGTTATTTGAACACAATTAAAACATAATTTATGGGGAAATTGTATTATGATCATGGATAACTAACTACAGTTCCTTGTTTCATGGAGAGGTGTGTTTCTGATTAAGGGAGTGTTTTTAAACAGAATGAAGCCAGTTATTTTGTTTTGCCTTCTGAAGAAAGGTTAGCAGTAACTTTGAAATATTCAAGCCTAGCCTGTTGTTGAGTGTCAGTTTCTGTTTCTTTGCTGTGTTGTAAAGTGCAAAGCTAAGAGTACTGCCAGAGCCATCCAGATTCCAGAATTAGTCATTGCTACATTTCTCTCAACATATACCATTCTAGGTGCCCTATGTGAGGGTCGCCCCAGAGGACATCCTGAAGGTGCAGTTTCCACGATTCACCACCCTGAACCTCCGCCCCACCAACACTGACATCAGCCTGGCCGTGGCCGGCCTCCTCAACTTCTTCAACAGCACCACCTCCTGCCTCATCTGTGCCAAGGCCGAGTGTAAGCCACCTCTCCTTCTCTAGAAATCAACTGTCAATCCAATAAACTGATTGGAAACTTGAGGGCAGCAGTGAACAAAATCCGCCTGCTGGAAGACTCTTCAGAAACCTGCAAGGGGTTAATTTCTATTATTTCCTCTGCTTCTCACCTTTAGAAGCTGTAATGGCAAGTAATCCCTGAATGGTCACATAGCAATTTAAGGAAAAACTGTTTCTTAAGCACAGTGCTGCTCCCCAACCTCTCCCGATCAGAATAAACTTAATTTCTCCTTTCTTAGCTTTTCTGCATTTTCTGCCCTGCGAACCCCATTTTGGATTGTGTGTTTACCCCTTCATAGAACATTTATATATGACCATGCACTGCACACACAAGCCACAGTGTGCGAAAGTTGAAGGGCAAGGTTTTCTTCCCATTTGTTCCTGTGCCTCATCCCTTTCCAAGTCTTATAAAAGGAATTAAAGAGTGAGTTTGTTTGTGCTGGTGTTTTGAAGGTGGCCTCAAGTTTTGAAGTGGCATGCATGAAAAGGCTAAGGATAGCATACACCTTGCATAGCACAATGAAAATTGCAAAGCATCTGTTGGGGTTTTCTTGTGATTTGGCAGTTGATATAAAAGGGAAGTTATGTTGTTAATTTTTTCATTTGTCAGGCAGGATTAAAGCTATCGAGACAAGCTTTACTCACAAGGGTATCCTTGCATGATGATCAGGAAACAGTAGCCATTCCACATCATTAGAGCACAAGACTACTGTAAGAACCACAGATGTGTGAAGGCTGCTTTTCACACTTGCTCTTTTGCCCGTTTCTAGCTATCCAGTCCCGTAGTGACAGCTTCAGGAACATGACAGGCAGGGCAGTTTGTTTTAGGTGCTGCATGATAGATACAATATGTCTTCTGTTTTCAGTGTTTTCTCCCACTTTCCACATCAGACTCAGTGTCTAAACTAGCCAACATCTCAGACTGTCTTCGAAACAGTATATCAGAAGAGTGATATGGGTACCTTGTTATCCCTATTTGGGGTATAATATCTCCCTGACCTCTGTTTATTACAGAGTGCAGATTCTGTAGGTGATATCATGTTCATCTTCCATGTAAGACAGAAAAAATGAACTAGTGTTCATTTCAACACTGCATTGCTACAAATTATATAAATGTTATTCATATGTTTTTCATTCACTCATTTAGTGCAACAGTATTGTACAAATCCAATACAGAACAAAATATGCAAGCCATTTGACTTCATATTAAATGTTATTAGTGCAATTGTGAATGCTAGTCTAGCTCATTTTCCTGTGTTCAATCTGCTGGGTGCAGGATTGCTGGCTTTCTTCTGCTCCTATTTACGCTTTAGTTCATTTTGTCTGACCTCTGCTCTTCTACACATTTCCTAATGGAAATTGGCTCTGCTGGAGGGTATAATCTTGGAGCTATAGCTGAAATGGAATAAAAAATAAACTCATTCTTTTCTTCCCGGTCTGCATTGTTTCTGATATGGTGCTATCTCTATTGTTTAGCTCTCTTTCTCTGATTTACTCCTTCACTCTTCTTGTTCTGCACTGTTCCTTCATTACGCACATGTAACCTTTTATGGTACTTTTCATTCAACTTTACATTTAAAGTCCCAAGCAGTGCTTAACAAGAACATTCAAGGTTCATTTTTGTATGAGAAATAAAATATGAAAAAAAACGCATACAACTAAAGAAGAGGACTAGAAATGTAGGTTTGACCAGTTAACTAAATCTTTATACAAGTTCAGCGAGAGTGTACTGGGCTTCAGAGGGAGACAAGTTCACGGTCTCCTCCATTCCTCTTCATCTTAATGGATGGAATTCCTTTTCTTTTACAAGTGAGATGACCCCCCCTGGTGCTGGCCAAGTCCTTTAATCAGCTTGCATCCTTGAAATGCAAAGTGGCTCCCATTTTACTGAACTTGGATTCAGTACTTGTACTTGTCCATCAGAACTTGGATGAACCTGGTAAAGGCCATTGAAGGGTGAGTCAGAAGTTCTGTATATAATAGGTCAAAGCTCTCCTACTTGGTGGAACGAGCCAGGAAGCTGCTTCCACCAAGTAAAGGAGAAAAGGAGGAAGGGATGTGGTGCAGGGAGTGGACACTTGGAACAGCCAGTCTGTTGCCCATGTTTACACTTTCTCGGCTTAAGTTTGTCCTGAAACTCTTATGTTTTCTGTAGCACAGTTGTGGTTTAATGGTTTTTAAAAGGTTGACTTGTAATCAGTGTGACTAAGATGCTAATTCGGCACTGTGTGTACATCATGGTTCCATGCTATAACAATAACATGTGACAAAGTCCAAGGGGGGTGAATACTTTTGCAAGGCCCTGTATATGCATGTACAGTACCTGTGTGTGCTAGCCTTGCGGTGCGAGAGCTAACAAACTAGTGAAATGTGTAATAGTCTGTCCACAGAGGAACGGAAGGGCAGCTGCACTGTAAGCAGGACTCAGTGTGGTAGATAAGCCAGGTGCCCCTTGGGGTGGGTGTGCAGAACTCACTCTGAAGCTCCTCGTCCTTTACCGAGAAGGTCGTTTCCTCCCCATCCTGGGGGAAGGTCTTTGTTAGTTGACGCCGTGAGCGATTTGGCGCATCACTCACCCGGAGTGCGCGAGCCAGTGTAGCGTCCCTGTCTGGACTCCTCTGGCAGAATCGAGGCAGCTCTCCCTCTCCTCTCCCTCTCCCTGAGCAGCCGCTCCAGGGGGTGTCAGGAAATGACACGGGTTGTAGTGATTTCCCTGCTGCGTGACCCCCCCAGCACCATGCAATCAAATGCTGAGAAGCATCCCTCTGCCTCTTTCCTTGCAATACGAGGGGCTGGCGGGAGCCTGCTGTTCTCATTGGGCTCATTAATCATCCTCACATACGACAGCCTAATAGAGCGTGACCGATTCATGAATATTTCTCAACCTTGCTTCCCGGTATAGACTGAGAAGGTAGGGTTGGCGGGGGCATGGTAGTTTATCTGAAAGGACAGCCATTTATCTTGCTGTTTTTTAACTCATTCAGTGTGCATCTAAGAAACTTTCTGCAGGGTCTCTTCTAATCCAGTATGATACCTGTATAGAATCTAATATACACCTACAGTACTTGCCATCAACTTCCCACCTTAAATGGAGGACTGTCAGAATACTACAGTGCATTGCTGTGAGCTTTATGTTTTAGTGTTACTGTAGCTTTTAGTGTGGAGCTTCCAATATCCACATCCACCTTACAGGCCGTGCCCTCTCTCACTACTTAGCCCTTCTCCATCAGGCAGCCCAACAGCTTTAACAGGACTGAAATGAGCATGGAGATGCGGCCGACACACTGCAGTCTGCTCTGTAATACAAAACTAGAAACACTAATTTACCATTGCAGCAGCCCTGCAATTTACTGCGACTTGAAGTTCTCACATTGCATGTGCTGACTGCTGGTCGCGGTTTGGTGTGCAGTATTTCTTTAACTGCAGAAACAGCTCCTGCTTTTCCCATCTCCTGCTAGGTTTGTCCTCGTAGACTTTCACAGTCAATTCATTTTTGTTTTTGTTGTAGTTTTTATTTTCAAATAGAGAGTGAACTTTATTTTTTTATTAAAAAGCTTTGAAATTTGCCACTCAAACACAGTGCCACTGTGTGTTTACAGCTATATAAGCAGACAGAAATGAGGGCTAATGTGCAGGGAAACCAAATCTCTTGACTGCTCTTTTCTTTTTTCTCTATTTTTAATTTAGCTTTTTCTTCTGACTCGGTGTGTAAATTTGATGCGAGATAAGCAGTATGATGGGATTTGTATGTCTGGTCTGGGGAGAGAGAAAAGAAAAAAGTCTGTTTTTTTTAATGAGAACAAAAGAGTGGAGACGGACCAAGCAGCTCGACAGCCACAATGAAAAATGAAGAGCCCCCTTTCAGCAGGAAATTATGAAAAAAAGATTGTTTAAAATGCCCATGTCTCCGTCTTCTCACATTAATGAGCACAAATGACATACTAATCTGTTTATAAAGGATATATAGAAGGCTGGCTCTTCAGCACTCGATAGTTCTATTTTTGCATCCTTGCTGCTCTGGCAATGTGTACATGTTTTTAGAGAGTGAATGACGATGCTGGAGAATGAGAGATTATTACTGAGCTCTTGAAGGACACATCTGCCAAGGAACTGGTACCTCTGGATATAAGAGTAGGGCTTGTATTACTGTGTGAGAAATCCACCATCCAGACCCACCTCCGTTTAAACAAATCTAAAAAAGTCATGTTGTATAAGCTGCTATGAAGAGAAGCACTCTATTTTGTTTTTTTAGTACATACAGATTGAATCCCAGTTTGAATTGCTTATGCCTTATCAGCACGGGCTCTGAGCACAGGTTGTATGATATGTAGTTCAATGCTAATCAATGTTCTTGCATATCACATTGTCAAAAGTGGATAGATCGATTTAATATACTGTATGTGTTGTAATTGTCTTGGGAGGCAATTAAAAAGGCAGATAGTCTGCTAACTTAACTGGCAGGGTTAACGAGCATGAGAGTGTAATAGCTGAACTCTAACGATTTATTCTTTTACATACTGTGTTTGTGTAGAACTGTGGCAGCCAGATGTTACTTACTGGGCGTCATGTTAATAAGCTCTTTGAAAAGAACTGAAATCTCAGTTATGCAGAGGCAGCCTGTCCTTGATTTCAACCATCAAATTTGTGTTTTGTAAGTTTGTCACTTAAAAATTAAACATTATTGCACGTGCTGTTCTGTGTGAGACATGGAGCAGTCTATGAAAAAAGCCACTGTTTTTCGCCAAACAGCAATGTGAACGAGCCAGCAAACGATAAGAATCCTGCTCATACAAGGTGTCAAACCCAGCCCTGGAGGATTTGGTATCTACTGTTTTTTCCAACCTGGTTTGTCAATTAATCGGATAATCTGCTATATCCTGTGTTAAAGATGTTTTTTTACAGTTGATTTCTCTATTATTTGCTACACTTGGGTACTGATGCCAGTATTTCACTCCATTAAAGGTACTGTATGGTTACTTATATACTGTAGCACCTCACAACCTACAGTACTTTTCTTAAATACTTAATAACAATAGAAGCTAAGTAACCGAAAGCCTCTTGGTTTCCTAAATATTTCCTCACAGATGTAAAGTGCTCAACTGATAATGTGTAGTGATTCAGATATCCTTCAGGTGGTAGTTGTGTATATCCTTACCCACCCTGTAAAGGTCCCCTTCACGGGAAGTCTCAAACGAGTCCACCAATTCTTTGCTTTTATTAGTAGCATTAGCTACTGTCTGGCTGTTTCGTATTAGCATACAGTCTTGATAGCAATAAAATAGATGAGTCTGGACGTTTATTAATCCCCAGCAGTTGGTGTCAACTCATGTGAGTTACTGTATATGTCAGGCCGGTCAGAGTAACTGACAGGCACTGATTTTAAAGTTTTTTCGCTTTCTGAGCATCTACAGTGTGGAACCACATGGTTATGCCAATAAAGACCCTTTCAGTAAACCTCAAATGGGATTTTGCTGTGCTGTACACACCAGTGGTGTCAGAGTTAGATCATGCCTCTTTGCAATTCATGCAGAATTTCTGTTTGCTAATTGGGGCTTGAGTTTGTTATAAGGAGGTAGACCCTATGGTAAAGGAAAGCATGGAGAAAGTTATATGATGTAATCTCCTGCATTAAAATGCACAGTGAATTTCTCTGATCCAAGCTGTTAATTGATATTTGCACATGATTATTGACTAGTGCTGAAACAAGCTCAGATCGACACAGGACATAGGAGGCGGGAAATCAAGTGTTGCATGTCTCAAAGAGCCTTAAACAGGCTACTCTGTCGTTTAAGATGTGCCTGTCAGCTTGAAGGACGCATGGTGATTAATTGAAAAATATAGTAAACCTGTTATTTTGTTTTAAATCTGTTTTTATACAGGAGTATACTGTGGAAAAATCACAGTTAAGTGTAAAAAAGCAAAGTGAAATGGTGGTAGAACAGAAGGAGGTGTAGTAAGATGTAATAGAAACTGGTGGAAATTGTATCAGTGTACAGTAAATGCACGTACATTTGCGAAAACTGCTAAATCAGTGCAGATTTACCGTGTTAGACTTTATCAAGGATTACAATATGATGTTAGGAAGAGGCAGTGCAGTCTGTCCCAGTTCCTGTGCATTCTAGTTTTCCTCATCACACCACAAATAAAACCATATTGTATCCAGTCTATTGCAATGCAGGTGGAGTCGTGTTGGAGCTGATGTCTTTTGATAGAAATGAAGAGATTGAGAGATGAGGCATCAACAATGCAATGGAGTACAAAATGCAGCCGTGCCCCAACTGAAGTGCACTATATAGATCTCTATTGCATTGACACCATAGTTTAACTGCACCGAACGCACGCTACACTGAGCAGTCTGAGAAAAAAGAAATGAGATTGAATGCAGAGTGACAGGAAATGGAAACTGTTGGCATTAGTGCTTCTGGCAAAAATCTGTCTCAGGTTTTAAAATCTTGTTGAATTTTTTTTTATTTGAGGAGCTTTTAAAAATTAATGTAGTCAGCTCCCTGTGTTTTATTGCTGGCCTAATCTGCTTTATTATGTCATGTTATTGCATTGATGTCTTTTCTGCTATGATGTTGCTGGAGTGAATTTTGAAACTCTATGGTAGTTCTTTTTTCTGAAGGTTTAAGAGGTTGCACTTCAGCAAAACGGCAAGACACGTTTGGGATGCTAATACTTGCTGCAGTTTCTGAAGTGCATGTTTTCTTGAACTGAAGTTATGTATAGTATGTAGGCTGCACTGTGTGGATTCGCCCTGTTTTTTACCCTGACTGGTTGTTGCCTGTTACATCAGATAGAGTCCCTTAGGCAAACTGTCTTAAACACGAATTCTCTCTCAATGGAGTCAGTTGGTTAAATATTTAAATAATATACCTCGTATGGATGGGGGTTGAGAGGGCTGTTGTTCGGCATCATAGCTGTACAACAGCTGTTTCTACCAATAGCTGCAGTAGTCTGACACTGTGATTTAACTTAGAACCTGCCAGAACACAGCATCCGAGCAGCACGCTGTTGTGTTAACAGGCAGGGCCTATTGCAAGAGCTCTAAAACAGCAAGCAGAACCGTCTCTCCCTCATGTCCTGTTGCGATGTAGCAGGATCCTAGCACAGCAGAGATATTGTAGGGTTGGTAAATATTCATGAACAGAACAATAAAGAAAAGCAACAAAGAACCGCCCCAAAGACCTCTTAGCCAAACTCTGAATCTTGAGCCTGCAGCCCCACAGCTCTGCACAAGACACTGGCATCAGACACATGACGGTGGCATCAATGTGGGTTGGTTTAGTATTGGCTTTTGGAAGAAGTATTGGCTTTTTCCACAACCCTTTGTGTAACGAAATACCCCCTGTCCTTTGTTTCAGAATCACTTCCCCAAGAAGTTTCCATCTGTGCCCAGCTGTGGTCTGTGTTTCACTTTATTTAGAATGATTATTTGAGTGACTAGATGAAGACTCTGGCACAGCTACTGTATGCTCTTTGGTGCCCTAGAATGAATTCTGATTTTTTTTTTACCTGTATCTTGTGTATCATTGTTACACAATTGTGTGGTGCTAAAAGGTAAGTCTTTTAAATTAAATTAGATTGAATTAAATTACATACCTCAAATTTATGGAAATACAACCCTCTAATATCTTATTATTAAACATTTTCATCCTTAATGTTTTGTTTGTTTGTTTTGAATTGTCTGGAGGCTAATGGTTTACCATGTTCACATGCTGTGGGTTCTGGTGAGTTCCAGGATGAGCTTTCTGAGAGGAATTGTTAACTGACTAAGTCAGCTGTCGAGTGCACTACAGCAGGGAGTACACATTGTTGCACTGCCTTTAACAGCTTCAGTCACTGAAATTATCTGCAACAAAATTTCCTTTTGCTCTTACGCTGCATGTTGAAAAGATATTGCAAGTTATTGCTTTTTTTAAATTAACTTATTCGTGACTGTGTGTCTCCTTCAAGCATAGGAATAGAATGCGTTGATGGTTTCTTCATTACTGTATATTGAATGCTAGGTTTCAGAACTGAGACCACTGGTTAATTGGTTTGCTACTGTTATAAAAGATAAACTAGGGCATTTACTGGTCTTCCTGTGCTCTCCCTCAAACAGTGTTTCACACAATGGAGTTATGTACTGTACTGTTCAGAATGAGACAGACTGGCACGTCCTTTTACCTGAGGAGTTTGTGTGCCCACCTCAACCCACTCTCCCCTGGACAACGTTGTACACTGGGTCCACATGTTTTATTATGCTTCTCATTCCTTCCTGTTTGCTGCTAAACCAAAACAACCAGGGGAGTTTAGGTCATTAAAAGTCCATGTTCTTTTCACATCAGACAACCTCAGTGTATCAGCACAGTGTATCAACAATAAATCATTTAACCTCCCCAACTAAAGGCCGTGTGATGCTCATGACTGTAGACTGCAGTGTATCTCACCCTTCACTCTCTTTTGTTCTTGTCCTAATGGACTTTTAACTGCCCTTGAAAAAATAGGCACAGTGCATATATCTATTTCCTTGTGTATACTAGCAAGAAAATAGATATATATATATATTTTTTTTTTTGCAGGGACCATTAGAAACAGGAAAATATCAGAAAGAATTGGGTCATGTCTGTCCTCTCTTCCAGGCCTGCTCAACCTGGAGCGCTTGTTGAGACAGTTCCTGATCTCCAAAGAAACGCTATCTGTGCGCATGCTGGATGACAGCCAGGACCCCACTCCACTGCTGAAAGAGATCCGTGATGACAAGACAGCCACCATCATCGTGGACGCTAATGCCACCATGTCCCACATCATCCTGCAGAGGGTAGGTAGGCCTGTACAGTTGTCACCACAGCTTTGCCAAGGGCTGGATTCTTCACAGGATAGGGTCCAGGTGATGCCCCAGTCATCTGCCCTTTGGGACCAAGACTCTCATTCAGATCCAGTTTGCAGGACATCCTAGGAGATCACCATGCACAGCATGACCTGGCCAGAGCTTCTCTTAAATTGTTAGGAACAAAAAAACATTGGTTGATGTGTGAGCATGTTGTCAGATCAGAAGGGGGAAAATTCAATGTGACACAGACAAAGTGATTAATTGCTGTTAGCAGGTCATGTTCACTGCACCACAGTGGGTCTCATTTCTTTGTGTTAAAATGTGGAAGAGGACTGGCAGCTCACCTGTGTACAATTTGATCTTAGTTGGATTCACAATTTAATTACATACTGAGAAACTACATTGTAATAAAAAAAAATTATTACAAAATAATAAAAATTATTATAAAAAAAAATTCCAGTCCAAACAAGGTGACTTGGAAGAGCATTAAAGAGCAGGATGCTACTAGATCGATAGTGCTACTCGTTAAAAGAGGAACATGCAAAAAGATTGGCAAAGTGGGTAATGAAATTTGGCACCAGCTCCAAGGTTGTAGGATTAATCTTGATGTGACTTTATAAAGCTTAAACTCTTTAATTCCATGCCTTAGCTTGACCCTCCTCCCCTGCTTCCTTAACTAAAATTCTTTTTAAGGAATGCTGAACAAGAACCATCAGTTTTAATGACTAAATAAGAGCATGATTAACTCTGAGCTTATTATTGATTTTTATTTCCAGAGAATGAGGATAACATGGGAGGAAAAAAAGATGCTGTAATACAGTTTCGTACTCTAAAGAAAGAGATGGCATCATTAATTACTGTACAAGCCATAGACAGGTGATTGTTATTCCGTTGAAATGACCCCATCGTGCCACCCCAGGTTAAATAAACTGCACTGTAGGGCATTGCTGCTTCAAAGTCCTTGACTGAGTTGTCAGTGACTGTCACAGGATGGAATACATGTGGTATCATTTAGATTATTCACAGTTTGTGAATTGAAGGTGCTGTCAAGAACAGTTCTTTCCGGGCCCTATGCAGACGACACAATCCGGAGAAGTGAGGAAACACTGGGGGAAAAGTCATGCAGGAGACGGGAACGGAGACGGGAGGCATGTCCTTGGTGCGCTGGTGTCCAGGGGGAGCGAGTCCAGGGCAAACAATCCAGGAAGAAATAAAAACGGGGAATCCAAAACACAAGCATAAATCCATGACCAGGCGATCCATCCAGGAGATTAAAAACGGGAACCGGGTCAGGACCGGCGGGGGGAACAGGAACAGAAAGTTAAAAACATTATGGAGCCAGACGTATCAGGATCCGGGCTCACATGAACCGGGAGTCGTTGTAGAGCCCCAATTATCGTCTGCGTCTGGCTTTAAAGGGGGAACTGAAAAGGGGCTGGAATAAGGAACAGGTGTGGGGAATGAGGCAGAACGAGGAAGGGCTGGAGCTCTCTCTAGAGGAGAGGTAGCACTCATGACAGGTGCAGTCTGGTGCATGTAAGGTCACTGTGACAGGGTGCCTGTTTTTTTTTCTAAATTAATGTTAGATACTCCAGTACTCCAATCCTCTACCCTTCCTTGTGAGTGTGTATGTGATACATATGAAGTATGAATGATACCCCTTTTTTTACCCCAAAATCACTGCAGTGTTCCCCATGGGAGTTTGGTATTGTTGGGCTAGATAGCCACCAGTCACCTTTCTGTTTGTAGTTTCCCACAATACCACATCAGCAGGACTAAAAAACACTACTGACTTTTAAGGAAAAGGTTACTGGTAGGCCATCCATAAATAACTGATGTATGCTTATTTTTTCTTGCTTAAATGTATTAAAAGCCTCATATGACTTTGTTAAAGTTTATAAGTTTGTAACTTATTCTGAATGTGTATTAAGTTACTTTATTTGTTTAAAAAATGTCCACATCTGTGAAAGATGTGAGCAAGTCCCTTTAAGGAAGGATGGCCCTGGAAAGCAGGAGCTACAGTATAAAAGGAACTGGGAGAACTCAGTAGAGAGAAGGTGCCTTGGAGAGAAGGTGGGCTGGGAGGAGCTTCTGTGAGGGGGTTATTTTCTTGGAAATCACTGTCTGAAGGCAAAAAATCCAGTTTTGTTTGCATTTGAAGACTTGTTTTGGGAGTGTTTATGAAGCCAAACCTAGTTGCTTGGCTAGTGACAGTCACCCACCAAAATATTTTATATGAATTATTTCTGGCCTATTTTTAATATGATAACAGGATAGTTTATTTCCAGTAACTTAATTACAAAATTCTTAATTCATGGAGTATTGCCATCAGTATGACATCTTCTGTTGTCTTACAGTATGTGTTCTGTCATCTTCATATGTTCCAGTTCTAGGATCTGTAGCTAAACTATCATCAGATTGCAGTGTGTTTCACTGAGATAGTTGCCAGGCGACACCCTGTCCTTAGATCTTTTGCACTTTTGAGTGCAGAGTCTTTCGTGAATCTTTCACAAGATTAATGTGTGTGGTGGGGTTTTGACATTGTCTATCTATAGACACTGCAAGGAATATGAATTTACTGAAGTCTGTGCTCCTAGTGAAACACATGGAGACACACAATATCAACACAGTTTATAAGAGTGCAACTGTAGGCAGGGGAAGCACGATGGTGCAGAGGATAGCGTGGAGCCCAAGGGTGCATGTGCATGTGCATTTCCTCCCAAAGTCCAAAAACATACTGGAGAGTTAATTGGCTTCTGGGAAAATTGGCCCAAGGTGTGAGTGTGTGCCTGCCTGAATTTATGTCTCTGTCTGCACTGCAGTGGATTGGCACCCATTGCTTACAGGGATAGGCTCCAGCTCCTCCATGACCTTAAACTGGAAGAAGCTCTTAGAAAATTGATGAATGCAATTGCAGGCAGACAGACAGGTCACTTTTCCATCCGTTCTGACCTTGGAAGTAATACAGAACATGGTCACCAGAACATTAAAATGCATGTTTCATTGTCAATGTTGTGATTCAGAACATTGTGCAGGACATGAAATGTCAGCAAAATGATTCTTGCACATACTGTAATGCTCTTTGTTTCCTTCACATTATAATATAAATTGATGTATTTAAGCATTTCTGAAATGGCAGAAAACTAGAAGAAGTAATAAGCACCTTAATATAAAAAACATTCTCTTAGCCAATCCGTGCGTGTCAGAAATCCATATGCCCGCACAGTGACAGAGGAGTCCTGGAATTGCACATGGCAGCATATGGCTGTGTATGATTAAACTATTGCTTGTTTAATTCCTCATTATTCCTTGTGGAGACAGATTAATAGGCACAGTGGTGTTATAATGGAGGAAGTTATTGTGGAATGGCTGTTGTGTGTGTAATGTGGCAGACTGTTCCCAGTTGAGGTGAGCGTAAACCTTATTTTTGGGCAGCTTAAAGAAGTGCAGTTGGTTTTGAAGCCAGTTCTTGATGCAGAGCTGCAGGATGTTTGGTGCTGTTGTTGTCTGAATGGGCTTTCTCAATACTTGACTCCTAAACCAGCCTGCAACATGAAGTACAGGGGTTGGTTCAAGTCTAGTCAGGTCTGCGGTCATGGTTTTATGCCGACAAGGGCTTCACCCGCAGCTGAACCCTGCTTTAGGACAGGCTGGTTATCTCAAACACGTATTTAATGGTGGCAGCTGCCAAGCTCACTTCCCATTCCATGTGCAACAACTTTCATTTTCTCTTCATTTAGATATTTTGCAATAATGTTTATTGAATTAGTGTTTCTAATTAAAAATACAACTAAAACAAAAATTAAACAGTTCTCACTGCTGCTTCTCGAGTTGTCCTTGAGACAAACCTTTCAGCTCTCTTCATTCCAGCAGCCATATCTTTGGAAATTGGGCCAATTTTCAAGGGGTCCAGGGGACCATTGAGCAGTGGTGTCTGAATGAGAAGCCACGTTGTTCTGGGCTGAAACTGAAATCTGCCTTCAAAGCCTGAAACCGTTTCTTCTCTAGCCTGCAAGTGAGACTTGCTTTCTGGAGTTAATGAAAGATTCTGATGGTCGTCGTAGACCTTCCTTTTGCTCTCTGGTTACCATGGAGACTCCTGGGCAGAGCAGAACACTGCAGTCTTAATGGGAATGAGCTGCACAGCACAAATGGTTTCATTCACCTCCCAGCATAAAATAGGGCTGTACCTCTGGGGTATGGGGGAATATGCATGTACTTCATGCATATCCCCCCATCATTCTTTTTCTGCCTCTTATAGCCTCTCTGACCTTGAGTTCGAAGTGGAAAAGGGGTACACATTAAATCTGTCAAGTGGGCATACATCCAATTCATCACAGAGGGTTTTTTTTTCCTTAGCAAATTAAAACCATGGGTCAACAGGCAATGCTATATTCATAAAGATCCGATAGATGCTGCAATGAAATGTGCAGAGAGTCTGCTTTGTGGTGTTGTTAGCTCTTGTTGCCTTATAGTCCTGGGTTCGATTACTAGAGTGCCTTCTGTGTGCACTTTGCATGCTCTTATGTCCATATGTGATATAAGCATGTGTGTGCCCTGCCCTCCCGGGGTTTATTCCCCCTTGTGTCCTATGCTTTCAAATTAGACTCCAGGTTTTTCTTGACCTTTACCAAGAATAAGAATGTTTCAGAAAATGGCTGGGCAGATCACCTGTTTCACTTTCGGAAACTGTGAAGTTAACAAAGTAATGAACCAAAGCATTTCCATCCTATTAAAAAAAACAGAGAAGCTGCTTTAGGTAAAAAAAAAAGTATTAATTCTCTTTGGACACACTGTAAAATGCCTACGAGCCAGAGCTCTTTCACACAGTTAAGTAAGTATACTTACTCTGATCCTAAGCCAGCATCTCTGCAGACCATGCAGACTGACAGAGCAATGTATTTCACAAAGTACTGACTTAGGGACTCTGTTCTCCAACTCACCCCAGCAGCCCACAAAGATCTAGTAATAGTACTGCCTTTTTGCCATGCTTCTCTTTTAAGATTTTAGCATCACTATTAAATCCTCAATCACTTGAAAATTGCTAACTGAAAAGTTATGATACTGTGAATAAATGAGACTCAGAGCATCAGTCTTTCAGGTTTCAAGTCTGAAACAGTTTCAGCTTTTAGGGAACAGGCTTGAGTACAGGCAGGGTAGTCATAAACAAACAGAGATCAGCAGTTACTAGAAATGGCCGGTCTTTAGAGACTGACTTTAATTAGAGGATTGAAAACATTTAAGTCCAAGCAGCAAGAAGAGTATGCATCACTCTATATTCAACTAGAGGTGATAAAATGAGAGAGTTTATTCCCATGTGGATTCCTTCTGATTGTATACCAGTGAAATTATTTCGGTTTTATAGCTGAAATTGGAAACAAAGCATGTTTTGAATGAGTGTGCACATTATTTGAATGGAAAGCAAAGCTGGTTAATGGTGACACTGGCATCAGAAACGCTTCAGTCGTTAAAAACAGGTCAGAGTGCAGCGTACTCTGTATTTTATGTCCTGTTTTGCACTTTTCTAGAGCTAAGGATTGAATGTTAAAAGAAGAAATTGATCCAGCACTGTCAACACCACATTAACCATTCCAATAAATATATAGGAACATAATTAACTTTAATTGATAGAGGTATCGATTGCAGTTTTCAAGGGAACAAGATACATGAAGGCAGAACATGACGGAAGTTTTTTATTTGAAAAATGAAATGGACCACAAATATACAGTATAAAAATAAAGAGTAGCGAGGGGGATTTATTTTTTTTTTCCTGCAAAAATGATATCTTAGTGGGGATCAAAATGAGAAGTAGTGCCTCACTGGAATACGTGGAACAGCCCCGAGAGACCACCACACAACAGGAGAATTACTGATGAATGCAGTAAGGGACAGAGGGAGAGGTGGGCTGACCAGGCTTCTCTCATTTGCAGTCTTCTTCGGGATCTTACAGCGTTATTGCGAAGAAGGAATGTCTGGGCTATCTTTTCTTCCTCCAGGTGTTTTCTGGAATAGTTGTGAAGAGAGATGAAATAAAGCACAGAGTCTTAAAAACATCGCGCAAGTGCTGTAAGTCATGTCCCTTTTGGGTTTGTTTGTGAGGGTCTTTTCCCCCAAAGTAATCCCAGTGCAGGATAATCCCAGCTCCTGATATTCCCTGTCCAGTGCCACCCACTCACGAGCAGACAGCATGTGACGAGCTGTTTCCAAAGCCACACTGATTCTCTTTCCTCTTGCTCTTCCTCCACAGGCCTCCGAATTGGGAATGCTTTCCATTTATTACACCTACATCTTCACCTCTCTGGTAAGGACACACAGGCAGCACGCTCTAACGGATATTAATGACATTGGTAATACTTTGCATTAATGGTTTCATTGAAATGATTCATATCCAGATGATTTATGACTTGTTAATGAGGCATTAGCTAGATGTTTTTGTCCGGCCTGTGGCTCGTTTCCTATTTGCTCCCTGGGAGAAAGCATGATGGTATGCAGGGTAATCGTGAGTAACGCCATACCCCATGAGTCATGAGGATAGACAGGAGCATGATCTCCTCCACCTCTGGACACTGGAGCAGTACAGCCAAAACATTTGGATGATCTAGACATTTACAGTGCTGTGAAAAAGTATAACATACTGATTTCTTCTATTATTACACTGAATGTTTTCAGGTCTTCAACCAAAATCTAATATTAGATAAAGAGAACCCGAGTAAACAAATAACAGTTTTTCTTTTTACTTATTTCATTTATTTAATGAAGAACGTTATCCAACAACAACTGGCACCGTGTGAACAAGTAATTGCCCCCTAGTTAAATCAGCCCAATTAAAGGGATAATTTAGATTCAGCTGATTGAACACCACCTGGCTTGATTACAGCCAGCCCTGCTCAATATAAACCTCACTTATTTTGACCCTTACTGTCAGAGTCAAGTTGCCAGCACAAAGATTCAACAAGCACATTATGCCAGGACCAAAGGAAATTCCTGAAGAGATCAGAAAAAACGTTGTTGATATCTATCAGTCTGGAAAGGGTTACACTGTGGTTCAGTGGGACTCCACCAAACCACAGTGAGAGCCATCATCTGCAAATGGAGAACACTTGGAACAGTAGTGAGTCTTCTCAGGAGTGGCCGGCCTGCCACAATTTCTCCAAGGGCGCAGCGTAAAATCATCCAGGAAGTCACAAAGGATCCTAAAAAACATCCAGAGAACTGCAGGCTTCTCTTGCCTCAGCTAAGGGCAGTGTTCATGACTCCACCATCAGAAAGAGACTGGGCAAAAATGGGCTTCATGGGAGAGTAGCAAGGTGGAAACTACTGCTAACCAAAACACAAAAGCAAGTCCACATCAGAATGGCTGAAAAGAAGCAAAATTAAAGTTTTGGAGTGGCCCAGTCAAAGTCCAGACCTAAACCCAATAGAGATGCTGTGGCAGGACCTGAAATGAGCAGTTCATGCTGGAAAACCTGCACATGCTTCTGAATTCAAGCAGTTCTATGCAGAAGAGTGGGCTGAAATTCCTCCACAGCAGTGTGAAAGTGTGATATTGAATTATAGGAAGCGCTTGGTCGCAGTCATTGCAGCTAAAGCTGGCGCAGCCAGTTATTAAGTGTGGGGCATTTTCTTTTTCAAACAGGGGATTTGGATGTTGGATAATTCTGTTTATTGAATGAATCACATAATCATAATAAAAAAGTATTATTTGTTCACTCAGGTTTCCTTTATCTAATATTAGATTTTTAATGTTAGCATGCCCAAAGGGGTTGAGCAACCAGTTGGCCTTGGACCCCTAGGGTTTTTTTCTCCTTACTAAGGAGTTTTTGGTTCCTCTCCTCCGTTGTCTTCGGGTCTTCTGTTCTGTATTCACAACATGTATGGTCACTTGCATTGTTTAGCGCCTTGGGGCTACCTTGTTGTGAAAGGAGCTATATAAAAATAAATTGAATTGAATTGTCTTAAGATCTGAAAACATCCAGTGTGACAAATATGCAATCATAGATTAAATACATTACCCTGTAACATTTGAAACATTGAAACATTTGCAGCATTCCCATAGATATGACTTGGCTCTTACAGTTCAGTTGCATGACGATATTTTATGGAAATGTGCTGTTTGTTTTTGTGCCACAATATAGAAGTGCTATGTACTGTGTACTGAAGCACCATGCAAATGGTGTTGCAGCATTTTGTGAATTGCATCTTGTCTCAAGAAAAAAGGTTCAAATAATTATTTCTCTGGGTGACACAGTAGTAAAGCTGGGGCTTTGACCTGCAACATCCTACTAACATCTTGCTTGTTTCAAACAGTTTGTTGTTTCTAAGAACAAAGAAAGTAATTACAGGAAACTAGCTCAGTGTTAGCATTCATAGTAGCAGCACTTGTTATGGTCGTGACCTATGATTATGTGGTTGAGAATGTGTTGAGAATGTTGCACTCTCTTATTTTAGCCTAGTGTGTCTTAGCCATGCTGTGCAGTATACATGGGCATCTAAAATTGTTTTTTATACAGTGGGTCAGCATTGAGCTATCAGGGGAAGGTGTTGGATACTGGAGAAAGGTGTTTTTAAGTCCATGTTTCCTCACATGCTGCTTCATTCTTCTGCAAGGTGCTGATGCCTGCTTAATAGTGACAGATACTGTCCAAGACAGAAGCTGAAAGATTACAACAAATGAGACCGTTGACATTTTTTTGTTCCTTGTACTGTATTAGACCTGCATGTTTGAGTCTCATCTTAAGCCCTCACTGCAATCTGTAGCTGATTTTATTTATGGCCATACTGACTGTCGGGTAAAAAAAAAATTCAGATGAATAAGTCCTGCAGACAGCGAGAGGAGAACAGAGTGCCTTCCTGTACTGAGGTAAATAAATGTGTAGGTGGAGCAGTAAAAAACAACATATAAGCCAAAAAATCCATGAAAAATTCATGATGTGAAAAATGGCTGAAAAGAAAAGGTTTAGTGCTCATTTCAGAAGGTAGGAAATGCACAGGTAAATAAAGAAGGCTGTTGCTTTATTGGGTAAAAAACTATTTTGTTTATTTAATATAGAAATCCTCACATGTGTAGTATGACACACAACACTGAGCAGCACAACACTGAGATCTCAGTGATCTTTTTGCTTTTGTAATTGCCACACAGACATTTTCATTCATTGCACTGCAGAACAGTTTGAAACCCCCATGGAGCGCCAGGCTGCACTTCTTTAACAGGATGAGTGGTTGCCCAAACGTGGAACAGTCCTTCATCATGAGCCTAAATAAAGCACACTTTCGTGCACATCCCCCTACATCCCTCACATGTCCCACTGGGGCCGCATGGTTTTGTTTTTTTGGAAATTAAAACCTGGTGATCTAATGGCAGGAGAGGATTTTCTTTAATCATTTTGTTGTCAAAGAAGCAAGATTGGCAGTGAGGGAATGAGCTCCAGCTCTGCGGTGCTGTCTAAGGGACGCCACAAGTGTCTTTCATCGTCCAGTCTGTCTTCTCTTTCAGGTTCAGGCTGACGGGTCTTTTTCTGGATGGGGACCTCTGGTTAGTCCAAGCTCAGTTCCGGAAACAGTGGTGTACAGAATGTTTCAAAGTTCTTTGGGACGCACTCCATCGTTAATTTGACCTTGACTCAGACCACCTCAGTTACTAGGGAACAGCTTAGCTCTTTTGGAATGAGCTCCTGCCTCATTAACCTTGCTTTTGTTAGGCATTTCAGAGACTGGTAAGAATAACTTTTCCTCATTAGTGCTTGTTCAGGTTTTGAAGTGGGTAAACTGAAGTGCCAGCAAATATCTGTGGACTGCAGGTATGTCACAGAGGCTGAGAGAGGAAAAGAAAATTGCGAGCTAAACGGAGAATTCAATTCCTGTTCATTAAATCTTAAAAGCTTCAACCATTTTTGAACTTGCATTTTACAGAAGATAAAAAGTAGTGTCACATCACCTTTCCACTTTTACTGCTGGTTATCACGATTTCTTTACCCATCATAGTGATTTTTCATCAGGTCAGGAAAGAGCTGCACCAAATGAGAATGTGTCTGTAAAATACATTTCTTTTAAAGAACTATATTATGGCCTTCTGGCCAAATTTCCCATTGGCCCTTACCAATCATGGCCTCCTAATAACCTCCATCTATGAAGTGGCTTCATCACTGATGTGTGGTGAGCGTTTTGGCGCACTATGGCTGCCATTGCATCATCCAGGTGGATGCTGCACATTGGTGGTGGTGGAGGGGAGTCCCTATTACCTGTAAAGCGCTTTGAGTGGATAGTCCAGAAAAGCGCTATATAAGTATAAGCAATTATTATTATAATTATATTTCTCTTATAATTTTTCAGTGCCATCAAAACTCCAAAACTGACAATACTCCTCCATTTGTATTTGTAGTTTTTGGAGAATGCCTACTCAACAGTAGTCCTGAATGCACTAGGGACATATTTAGCATAGCAGTTGTTACATTCTGCAGTTTTAGATATTACTCTGTTACTCCTAGCTTCAGAAACTGGTTGCCTTTGCATGTCGTACATGGCTGTTGTTCTGCAGAGCATTTAAAACTGAGATGCCCAGCGGCTTGTACCAGGCTCCTTGCATTTTAGACAGATGGCATTTTCTGCAGCGATCCGTCCAGTAGGGCAGCATTCTGTATGCGTACAAAAGCGCTATGGGAGATGAAGAGCTCCGCTCTGCACTGTGGCCTCTTTTCAGAGATTATGCTCTTCAAGGCCTTCAGACCTAGTGAAGAAAATGCTCAAAAGGAGGAGGTGCCATTGTTTTCTGTGCTTTAGGGTCTTTAACTTAATCTATATAAAATCTCTCTTAAAGGTAGTTTGGTTTTACACTACTTTTAAGTACTTTTAAACTACTTTTAAGGCTATCAGTAGTAGCCTCTGATCATGTCTGTTGGATTGTTTTCCTTATAAAATAATAGAATTAAAGAACTTAGATTTTAGGAGAGTCAGCTATTGACTCTTTTGAGGTGCAGTATGAGATCTAGTGAAGGGACACATTTGGCCATTCCAAATTGTGTAGAATATTAGAACATAAGAGAGGTTACAAATAGGAGGAGGCCATTGCACCCATCTAGCATGAAGTTAGAAGCTATCTAAGGATGTCATCTAACCATTTCTGGAAAGAAGGCAGAGTATTAGTTTCAACAACATCGCTGGGTAGCTTTTTCCAGACCCCTACAACTCTTGGTCTGAAGAAATGTCTGCTTTTCTCAGTTTAAATCACACATCTGTGTTGTTTTCATTTTAGCCCTGTAGTTCATGTTTCACTGCTGTTTCTGATTAAAACAACTGGGTTGTCAG